ACCAGTCCCCGGCCCCCAACGCTGCCCCTTGACTCTTTTGGGTAAAGGACAAGTCCCAATGAGGTAGAAGTTGTTTTATATTATTGTAAAAAAATAACTACTAGGAAATTTGTACAAATATTAATGTCTATCAATGTCTATTAGTTAAATTTTAGGAAAACGCTTCACTTGTAGATCGGAGGAAATGAGAATTATAAGTTTTTTTATAAATTAACATTAAAAAATTGCGAAATTGTGACTAAAGTTACATTGTCGGCAAAAGTTAACCAATAAGGCCAGTGTATACGATGGCGCTTCCCTCGTAGCAATTCCCACCGGAATCAACCGCGGAATCCTGTCGGAAAAATCGCGCATTTTAAGTCGGATTTATGTGCGATTTTGTCACCTATGGCGCGCCGGATTCTGGTTCGATAAGTGGCGACGGAGTCCACTGAGAAAATTAGCGACGGATACTGCGGCGAAAAGTCGCGACACGGGCCCGACAGAACGTAGGTACCTTTTAACGCACTGCGAGCGAACCCCCGACGATTAAATGAACGCAAAGGCGTTTGATATTTTAGTAAAAAATGCTTATTAGCAAAATAATGTAACAAAGGCCTTTGAAAAAATCGCTCCTACGCTGTCCATGCGCATTAATTTTGCATGGAGGGTCCTGGCGTGGGGTCTATGTGAGAAAATAAAGTGGCGGCATCGTCATTTGACGAACCATCCGTAGCACGCCTTTTTCTATATGCGTCCAGCGAGCATTTAAATCGCTTTCTGAGGGCTTCCCCCAACTGGGAGACATTAATTCCGTCTCCCTTCCATAGGGCGTAGGCCTCTAATGCGCAAGTGGCTAGAAGTATTGTTTTAAACATACCAAGCATAGCCTCGCAGAGGATTGTCCCTCGAAGCGCCCGTTTCTCGTTTTTGCCGGAAAAGTTAACGTACATAGTTATGTCATCTTCAAGAATTGACTGGAATATTCTCCTGAGGAGGTCTTCAATATTACGCCCTTCAACGCAGGACAGGAATGCCATCTGAACGTGTAATTTAAAGATGAACATACACCTT